TCGCCAATATTGAAAGTTTGATAAGCACTGTCTTACATTACTTTTGTCTCCAAAAAGTTCAATTACTGTAGCTGGAAGTTTATCTATGGTGATGCGATGGTTTTACAGAGGATTTGAGTTCTTTCTGCTTTTCTCACAAGTTTTCTTTGGTCCAAAGCATTTTTAGTTCAGGAATGTTCAACACCTTCAACACACAAACATAGAACCAGATCAAGTTCCTCACAATGAAGCTTAACTGTGAATATGGGGGAGGGCGGGTACGTGACTAAATATATAGACACAATCCATAATTTTTACTACTTCAGCTAATTTTTTCAGATTACCCATTATTATTCAAGAAGTTTAACATGTTCATATCTGAATATAGTTTCACATACACGCACAACAAATTTGATCTACATCCCTCTGTACAAATCCCGTAAGTGACATTTTGAACTGAGCATTTGGATGTAGATCAGTCAAAATCGAGGCCCAGAACGGACATTTTGGCGGCCCGTTAAAATATATCGGTACACAATAATATCTAATCTTTGGGATAAATAACTGACGTGCCACATGATTAAATCAAGTTTAGATGATATTGCATCGAATCAAAAATACTGATACGTTGATCGGGAGTTCGAGGATTTTATGCAAATCAGTCGTAAAGAACAAGACAGTTATTTATGAGGAATGTGAATTTACTGTCGAAAATTCAATCCTTGAAATACAGAATTCAGCAGCAATATTCGCTGAATAAATCTCAGAAGGTCCTTACACATTCAACAGTACTCAGACGCAATTATCGGTGTCTAAAATACTCGTATATAAAAGATTATTCATAAGCAATCACTCTTTCAACAGCCGAAGTAATCACTATTCCCTTCAACAATCAGAGTAGTACTACCTGATCGTTAGTCAAAACCAGACTGACTTTCGGCGAGCATCTCTCTCTATATATATATCTCGCGGATAATTCGAAACAGGCCCGCTTGCGTCATAGATCTTGAAATTAGTGTATTCCTCTACTAATTTCTAGAAGAATCCAGAGGGTCCCGAACTCGCCAAAAATAGTCACCAAGTTCCCATTGAATCTCCATTATAACGTAAGAGACGGCATTGCTTGTGAATATCACAATTTTGACGTAAATTCAATCTAATTTAAAGTAAGATAAAGGCATTACACATCCAAATACAAATTATTTAATTCATTTTACACAAAATTCGTAACAATACGCAGAAAAAATTTCAAATCTTAGAACTGAATTCAAAACAAGATTTTAATTCTTTGGAAAGCAAATTTTATTTGTTTCCTTCAATTTTCTCAATAAATATAAACTCAGTACACAGATATATGCTAATGGAGGTGATCAAGACTCTGAGCGACTGAAAGGAAAATCCATTGAAGTGTATGTGCCTGAATTTTACAAATATTTACCATCCATGTCTGAAAATACCCGAAAATTCGCATATGAAATTATTTCCATGTTTAGAACTACTTATCGGTGCAAGCAGGTATTTTCTGTTTTGATATAAAAAAATAATAAACCTCCTGTTAGAAAAAGTATTAATGACGCTCACTTTGAATCAGTTTTTAAGTAATCACTGCAAACAAAATTTCTCTCGAAATAGGAATGATAGCAACAGAAAAGAGGTCAAATGTCAGAACGCATACATTAACTTTTTGATGTACTTTTTTGTGTTTATTATAATATATCATTCGAAATAAACCTACGTTTCTCTTAATATTGTTTTTTGCTGCCCAAATAAAGCTAAACCTTGTTTACTTGGCCCAAGTTTACCTTTGAGTTTGACAGTCCTTGATGTAGGTGGGTCTCATCCAATCCTCCTGTCGGGTGGCTTTCAAATGGCTTGAGACATCTCTTAATTTTCATCTACAGTTACTTGAAGAAGCTGCTTAAGAAATTCTGATAGATTCGTGTTTGACCATTCGTTCCTTTCACGAATTACTTGCGCTGCTGATACAATCTGCAAAACATTCGGTATCTTTGAGATTGTCTGGAAATCTATATGGCGTAAATGTCGTGTGTGAATCATTGCCAGTGGGTGAAATTTTGAACACTTCCTATGAATTCGTGTAATCTATCTTGAGATAAATCAAGGTATTTGATGTCCATGTTGTTGCCATTTTGAGTCTCTCAATCTCTGTAACATTTGAAGGTTGCAATTCATGCATGATTTTCTGTGTGATTATGTGAATCTTAACGGAGTGCCCTCTCTCTCTCTCTCTCTCTCTCTTTCTGTGCCTCTCTCTCCCCCTGTCTGTCTCTTTCTTCCTTTATGTCATTCTCTTTCTCTATGTATCCTTTTTCATCTCTCTCCCACTTTTTCTCTTTCTCCCTTTCTCTTTCCTCTTCCTCTTACTCTCTCTCTCTCTCTTTATATATAAAGGGTGTTTTTTTAGAGGTATAGAACTTTAAATTGCAATAAAACAACGATGTATTATTCGATTGACATGAATTTTTTTTATTCGAAAGATAATCTTGTGGCATTACATTTTAAATATGATTTCTGGAATAGGACTGCCACGGCTGGCTCGGATGTAGTCCAATCTGGACGTCCAATTTTCGATGACTTTTTCCAACATTTGTGGCCGTATATCGGCAATAACACGGCGAATGTTGTCTTCCAAATGGTCAAGAGTTTGTGGCTTATCCGCATAGACCAATGACTATGCATAGCCCCACAGAAAATAGTCTAGTGGTGTTAAATCACAAGATCTTGGAAGCCAATTCACAGGTCCAAAACGTAAAATTAGGCGGTCACCAAACGTGTCTTTCAATAAATCGATTGGGGCACGAGCTGTGGGACATGTTACGCCGTCTTGTTGGAACCACAGCTTTTGGACATCATGATTGTTCACTTCAGGAATGAAAAAGTTAGTAATCATGGCTCTATACCGATCACCATTGACTGTAACGTTGTGGCTTTCATCGTTTTTGAAGAAGTACGGACCAATGATTCCACCAGCCCATAAAGCGCACCAAACAGTCAGTTTTTCTGGATGTAACGGTGTTTCGACATACACTTGTGGATTAGCTTCACTCCAAATGCGGCAGTTTTGTTTGTTGACGTAGCCATTCAACCAGAAGTGCGCTTCATAGCTAAACAAAATTCGCTTATAAAAATCGGGAACAACGGCAATCTCGTTTTGGGCCCATTGGACGAATCTACGCCTTGCTTGATGATCGTTTTGATGAATTGCCAAAGCAAACTGAGAATAAATCACTTGACAGCTGTTAAATCGGTCGCCATCTTGGAAAGTAATGCCAACTTAAACTGCTATCCCTGGAAGAAAACACTCTTTATAACTTAACATGTCAAATGTTTAAATACACAGTAAAAACATGATATTTCAGGATTTCATTCATTAGTAAAAGTAAATATAATATCAATTTTTAAAATTCATTTTCATCAGGTTATTAAAGAATAAAAGTATGGTTTATAAAACAAATAAATTCAAAGTGAATTTTTAAATAAAAATGCGAAGTGTATTTTTCACTACAAATCCACTCCCCACCCCCACCCCACTTTCAAAAATACAAAATATCATTTCGAAATATTTTCATAATTTTTATACTTTTTCTTCAGTGACATTAAATATATTTTTGCTTCATACATTCGAAACGCAGTTTAAACTCCGGAATATATTTAGCTTTAAGTTCTTTCGTAAATCATAGCTTCTCTAATTACAGTGCAGTGTAATTAAATTATTAATGTTTCGTAAATTATCATTAATCTTAGTTATCCTTCTTTGGAATTGCATTATTACTATTCACTGCTACCAACAATACTTTTCTTTGAAAATTCTTCATAATAAAAAGTTGATGCTCCATAATTCATACCCTAAATAAATGTCATATGTTGGAATTTGTAATAAGAATCTGTTGGATTTTCGGAAACAAATATAAATTTCAATTGAAAGAAACAATAATGCCGGGGCTTCAGGAATACTTTTCACTTTTATCAAAAGCTATTACTTCTAATTAAATTAAAGAGAAATTATGTTTCATAATTTCTTTCATGAAGTAAACTTAGTGGGAAAAAGCGTAAATTATGAAGATGATTTAGTATCCCTTGAATTAGTATACTTTTTTACCATGCGAGAAATAAATTAACACATCTATGCGTATATATGACATCATATTGCATTCTCTGCAATGCCATACTATTTGTTTATTTTATCTCTTCATACTTATTTTAGTGTAACATTATCTGTAATGTCTGTACTATAAATAACACAAAGTGAAGAATAATAAAAGAAATTATTTGCCATAAAATAATTGAAAATAATAATCACAGTATCCCTTTAAAAATATTTCTTTTTAATTTAATGTTGAAGAATTCATATTTAAATAAATATTAATTTGTTGCGGGAGTTATAAAAGTACATTCTTTCAAAAAAAGTAAAATAACATTATCAATAATCTTTAAAATCGTAATATTTTATTTCTTTTTTACTATTCTAGGTTTCTAAAGCTGAAATTGATTTACTATCAAAGTTTAGGAAGCATCGTAACACATTTTGTAACTTTGATTTTTTAAACTTATTTGGATGTGAACCACTTTCTTCATTGTATTAGTTAATCCTTGTTTAAAAACTGTTTTGATTTATATTCTTTCTTTTTCTTAAGTAACTATTCTAGTTAAATCCTCTTTTACTTTTTTTAAGTTACACTGAAATTAGAAAAAGGAAATTTGCTGAGCATTAAGGATAGATTATTTCTTCAAAATATCGAATCGAAACTTTTATTTTTTTGGAAAGTTTCTGAAACTGTATGCATTATTTTTTTTATTTTAAAAAGTTGTTACAAATTGACTAGAGTGGATATTTTTAAGAAGGCATCGATACGTTTTTATACAAATGTATTGTATATTTATCCAATTTATTTCCCCAGATAATGCTATAAATGTAATTAAATCTCAGTAAAAGTAATTATTCTCGTAAAAATAGAAATGATCTCATGAATAGTTGCTTAAACTAAACTCAGTACCGACTAGCCAGTATGATGGATATGACCCTCGGCTTGTAACCGAGTAGGTTTGGGTTCGAATCCCGTGTTAGGCATGGTTGTATTTTCTTCGGGAATGGAAATTGGACTTTCGAGCGCAATGGATTCCCATCTCTAATGGAAAGCATTGCACTCCTTCTCGTTATATACTGAGATCTTCATATGTAATAAATGTCTATATTCTAATGTTTGTATTGTATGTCTCTGTTCTTCCATTTGTATTTCATATGAATCACAGAATTGCGAAAACCACAGCTAAACTCAGTGGGGCAACAGTCCATGAGGGTCAAGACCTACTATGCCCATCTCAGTATACGTGACCATTGGGTACTGAGGTGCATGAGTATATGTTCCGAAACGATGGTTAGTCTGAAGTGAAACCCACAAAGTTTAGTCCCCAAGTAAGCTTGATGCTCATTTATCGATCCACTGAAGGGATGAAAAGCTGACTGGGCTATGCACAGCCCGAGGATAGAACCCCGGACTTGTGGTGTGGAAGTGCGACACGTTACTTCTGGGTCAGAATAATTGCTTATTAACCGTTATTCAGGATGGTTAAAAAAATTGTAAAATAACGAGCTGTGGGTAGCCCAATGGTTAGAGCATCGCACTCCAGACCAGAAGGCCTGGGTTCGATATGCCCGATGCCACCAAGTACCCTCTGAGTACACACGGAGTACGTTCTCGTTAAATCAGTGGGTCCGAAAGTCTTGTGGGCTGAATCACGAGTGAAGGGGACTGGAGAATATTTTCCTTCCCTTCAGTTCCATGCTTAAATTGTGGAGGTGGAGATAGGTGGTGCCGCCATATATTGTCCCTTCGGGGAATTTCGCCAAGCTGATTCGTACTGTCACCTTTATGGTGCTCAAGACAAACGATAGACGTACTTTTAGCCCCTTGCCACTATTAATTTCGTGAGCCTTGACCTGACTACGTCAGACAGTCAGACGTAGCAGCCTTAGCCACAACACCACCACCAACAAAAATTCTAAAATAAACACTTTACAACACTTTATTCAAGTCAAGTTTAATACTTAAGATATCATTAGAGATTAACAATTATTTATTTTGGAAAAACTAAGTCTATATATATATATATATATATATATATATATATATATATTATATATATATTATATATATATATATATATATATATATATATATTATATATATATTATATATATATATATATTATATATATATTATATATATATATATATATATATATATATATATATATATATATATATATATATATATATATATATATATATATATATATATATATATATATATAATCGTAAATATAACATCTTCAATTTTGTTTTCTTTCAGGCATGTTGTGCCTCTTCTTCACGACGACTCCAACGCCATGCTGCAATTCGCACAATGGGGACGCGGAGGAAGCCAATTGGTGAGTATTTTATATCTTTCACTTAAAACTTCATCTACATCCTGAACAATATACAGTCGACTCTCACTAATTTAAACCTTCGATAATACAAACCCTCGCTTATTCGTATATAATCAGCCCCTAGAAAAACTCCTGATATTTCGAAATAAAACAATACGTTTTGGTACTTTTAATACTTCGAAGTAAAATGTGTGACGGGCTAGACTACAACACGCAATAATTCGAAGTTACCTTATAAAACTCTCGGCACACACACAATTCGAACACTTACTATCTAGAGCAGCGATATTCAACCTGCCTTTTTAAGTGGCCCGGTCATGGCCTATTGCGCTGAGAAATTCATTTATTTGTGAAAAATTAGTGAGAAACTCTTTGCTAAGAAATCCAATATATCAATTTTGCTTTTTGCAGTCGATGTGGTATGGGTGCAGATTGATATTTTTTTTTCTTCTGATTAGTGATAGAAGACAACAATGGAAGATAGTGACCATTTTATGCGTGAAACTAATTTTTAACTATCTTTCATATCTTGCAAGAGAAAAATATTCGAAGAAAATAGGCTGTTTCAAGAGGATTGGGAAGCTGACTATTTTGTAGTTAAAAACAAACATGGATCAATAATTGTTTGATTTGTCACGAAAGTGTTGTATTTAAAAAATACTAGTAAACAGGAATGGCTCAATGACACTTTTACTCGAAGATCAATTTCAAGAAGGGATAAACATAAGCTTTCTTGAAAAATCTTTACAACAGCAACAAAGTGTTTTATTAATTGTAATGTCACAGTGGTAACAAAGGCACCCTATGAAATTTGTTATATTATTGGTAATCATATGAAACTGTTTACTGATGGAGAAATTTTGAAGGAGTGATTTTTAAATGCTTCCAATTTATAGAAAAATTCAGTGACAAAAATAAAAAATAATGATTAAAAAAAGTAAAATAGAGAAGTTCTAATATTTTGATCAATATTTTCCAGATTTTAAATTTTCTATATTATCTTGGTCTAAAAGCATTTCTCCCCCTCCATTAATTCTTACGTTACGGCCTGCGTGAAATAGCTAGCATATGTGTGTAGCCCGGCAGAAAAAAAGATTGAGTATCACTAATCTAGAGTCCTGAAGTAAACAGGTTCGGGTTTACGTGTTTTGTGTTGTATTGCCTCTGCATGTCTCCCCTTAACGTAGCTCCTTTGATGATCATCCGCCTGCTACCCTTTCTTTGTGTTTCCCGGTTCCTCAGACAAAAAATCACTTTTATTGCTTCTCTTCTTCAATTGCACAGTTCTGGCCACGCCTGTTGTCAGCCGTCCATATTTTTCGTTTAACCCTTTATCTACCGCATTATGATTTACTGCAGTTTTTTCATGGGGTATATTTTTAAAATCACTATACTGAAAATTAAGGGATAATCATAAACAAAGTACTCAACTTTGGGAGATTTAATCCGTTAGAGCTAATTAATTAATTTACGATATTCAACTCTAAAATTAATTACGTACACTGTTCGTTTAAAATAAATATTCAAATCGTTTTCTAAGTTCTTCATTAACATACTTAAAAAAATTATAAAACACTTACCTTTTTACATTAATTACTTTTTCGGAACAAAAATGACAATCTTCACAATCCGATCAAAATGTCAGCTGAAAACGTAATTTCTGCTATAAAACTTTTCATCTTCCCCGCTAAAATACTCATCATAGAACCCGTACTGCCATATATCTTGAAGAGTGCATTTAAAAGAATATTCCTGTTAAGTTGTAACGGGTCTTTACCGCGTTTTCCCTATTAATCATCTTAGTGAGTCTTTGGGAGCCAGCATTGAGTTAATTCACAGCTAATCCTTTCAAGAAGAAACCACGATAAGCAGAATAATTAGTACATATATAGTGGAGCTTTTGTATTCGCGTAGGTAGTAGAAGAAGGAGAAAGGAAGCTGAGATGCTGAACGCCGTGAGCTGATGGTAAGACATTAAACTTAGAAGCAGGATACAGAACGGGCTTTAGCTTGTTAAAGAAATTAAGGAAGATAAAGATTCATAGGATAGCTTTACTGAAAGATAAGTGGTTAGGATTCCTTTGCGCCTATTTACTTAGAATTTACGGATACGTTATATCACTCCTGATTGCCTTCTATAGTAAGACTTGTGTTGATCAATATATTTGAATAATAATAAATTAGATTGATTATGGGTAATTTCGGTGATCAATCTTTTCCTCCCACAAATTTAGGTCGCGTAGAGACCCCCAGGCAGGGGGTATCACAAAGTATCGTCAAAGTATTCGTAAAAACGGTTATTCTATATAATTTTAAAGTGAGCGGTACTTATAAGTATACCGTCGGTAAATAAAGAGTTAAAACATGGCCTTGCTTACACGTGTTCAGAATAGATGGTCCACTATTATGAAGAAGAGATGCGAAGGTTTGTTTGTTTTTTGCGTTGAACTGACGTGACGATTTATGGTTAATCTGTGTGACTTATATCATGTGGCACCAAATAGGAAACGGGCTGGACTAAACCCTGCCTTGAAATGGTGTTGGGGACAATGTCAGAGAGAACCGGGTGCGAAGCGATTTTATTTCCAATGAGGAATAAAAGAGATTTAGTGGGGCGTGAAAGAGTCCTTTTCGAGAGAATTAGTACATAAACATATTGTTTTATTACAGGACTTTTAACTTCTCTATAATATTTATACTGTATAATATAGTGCTTCTCAAACTTTCTGTTTTCACAGTCATAATTTTCATCTCACCCCCCCCTCCATACAATAGCAATGTATTCGAATTCAATAATAAAGGGTGCTTTTTTTTAGAGGTATAGAACTTTAAATTGCAATAAAACAACGATGTATTATTCGATTGACATGAATTTTTTTATTCGAAAGATAATCTTGTGGCATTACATTTTAAATATGATTTCTGGCATAGGACTGGCACGGCTGACTCGGATGTAGTCCAATCTGGACGTCCAATTTTCGATGACTTTCTCCAACATTTGTGGCCGTATATCGGCAATAACACCGTGAATGTTGTCTTACAAATGGTCAAGCGTTTGTGGTTTATCCGCATAGACCAATGATTTTACATAGACCCACAGAAAATAGTCTAACGGTGTTAAATCAGAAGATCTTGGAGGCCAATTCACAGGTCCAAAACGGGAAATTAGGCGGTCACCAAACGTGTCTTTCAATAAATCGATTGTGGCACGAGCTGTGTGACATGTTACGCCGTCTTGTTGGAACCACAGCTCCTGGACATCATGATTGTTCACTTCAGGAATGAAAAAGTTAGTAATCATGGTTCTATACCGATCACCATTGACGGTAACATTGTGGCCTTCATGGTTTTTGAAGAAGTACGGACCAATGATTCCACCAGCCCATAAAGCGCACCAAACGGTCACTTTTTCTGGATGTAATGGTGTTTCGACATACACTTGTGGATTAGCTTCACTCCAAATGCGGCAGTTTTGTTTGTTGACTTAGCCATTCAAACAGAAGTGCGCTTCATCGCTAAACAAAATTTGCTTATGAAAATCGGGAACAACGGCAATCTCGTTTTGGGCCCATTCGACGAATCTACGCCTTGCTTGATCATATTTACAATGTAATGCCACAAGATTATCTTTCGAATAAA